AAACACAGTAAAATAATTGAGATATAACATTATAAATTTAATTTCCTTCAATACAGGATCTTATTTATTTTAAAAATCTCCAAATTACCTCACAGATAGTACCCAATACATGTTGTTGAATGAAGTAAACTCTAAGTTTACTAAGGAAAATAATTTATTTTCTTTTTTTTATTTAAGGGATGATGAAACACATATTAGTACAATTTCACAACTTGATTTTGCGACTAGAAGTCCACTGAAAGTCAAGCAGCTATTCCAGAAGATAAGGGTTTTTGTTTTGTTTTGTTTTTAATATACTTTTATTGACTTCACAGAGAAAGGGAGAGGAAGAGAGAGAAACATAAATAATGAGAAAGAATCCTTGATCACATGTCTCCCACATGTCCCCCACTGGGGTTCAAGCATGAAACCCGGGAACGTGCCCTGACTGGGAATCAAACCGTGACCTACTTTTCATTGGTCAATGCTCAAACACTGAGCCATGCCAGCAGGGACAAGAAAAATCATTTTAACGTGGGTCATAATGAACTTATTTCTGGTACCATTCTAAATTTAAACATGTGACTGCTCACTCTTGAGAAATGAAAGAATGAGAGAAAGAGAGAGGGGGAAGAGATGTATTTATAGTCTCTTCTGAGTAATCAAGGTTGTGGTATGAAATCTAGATGAGGGATATTCTGGCACAAGAGTAAGGAAATTAAGAGTTTGTCTTGTTTCTGCTGTTTTAAAAATCACTTTATTGAGGTGTACAAAGCTGTACATATTTATACAGGGTTTGGCAAAAGTAGAGTTACAGTTTTTCATATGGAAATAATATAATAATTAATAAATAATAATAAAAGAATAGACTATTTCACATAGTCAAAACTGTAAACCTACTTTTTCCCCACCCTGTATTGTACAGATGTTGTATACAAACCTGAATATATATTGAGGATATGTATACACCTGTGAATCACCACCAAGGCCATAAACATATTTATCATCTTCCAAGTTTCCTTGAAATTAGATTTTACTCCTTATCCAGCACTTCCCTTCAACAAGTCATTTAACCTTTATGAGATACAGTTGCCACTCAGGTGCAATTTAGTTAAAATGGAGCAAGGAATGGGTAAGATTATTAGTATATAGGTGTAGTAAGATTGCAAAGTCAGCATGTAGGGTAAAAGCTGCATGTCATTAAAAATTGTCCTTGAAAATTCCTTAAATTTCCTCACTTTAAACTACCACACTTTAAAAGAATCTCAAAAAGAGAGGGCAAGTACAAAGTAACCATTTGGAGTGTGGGAAGAAAACAACAGAAAGTCCATCTAACAATGTCCATTGGCATCTCATCTTTAAATATTATTTGTTGTACTTCATTTAATGCATGCAATATACCAGGTCAGAAATTTATGTGCATACTTTGTAAATAAGTATGCATATATTGGTAGTTTTTTGCTAAGGTTTAAATTATTCTCATTGGGATAGAGGTTCCAAAAGTGTTCTCATGTAGACTAGTGTTTGTATATCAATATCCATGGTTGAGCTCCAGATGAAGTAGTAGTTATTATATATTAAATACATATTTTCAACATGAGACTATCATTTAGATTAGAGAGACAAACTGTCAGAGATATATGGAAATGAAGACCAATTGAAGGAATAGCAAAATATATCCCATTGTATGTCTTTCTGAAACACATGGGTAGATCAGTGTACAGGTCTGAATATTTGAATTATTATTATTATATGTTTATGTCATTCTTTTTTCTATCTCTCTCATGCAACACTCCAAGTTTGAAGAGTTGACTCTATGTAAATGAAATGTAAAATGTTCACATTTTGAAAAACTACCATATATAAAAAATGCTTTGAATATTACAATGTATTATACAAATATAAGGTATTCCTACCTTTGACATAAATAAATTATATGAAAAACAGTAAAGAAGGGGGATAATTGAAGATACAAAGAACTATTTTAACTCATTTTCTTCTTTCTTTGAAAATAAAAGAAGGCAAGAAAACCCCCTCACTCATATTCCTTTATTCAAGTGAATATTACTCAGATAAAATTTATGGCCTGTCTAGATGATAGGGTCATGTATATCTCGAATAGGAAAAAGAAGAGGAAAGGTCACTTTACTTCATTATGATTTCTCAAGTTCATCTCACCTCTGTGGAACCAAGAATGAAAAATCATCATTCTCTAAAGTAAAAACCTAACCTGACTTGAAAAGGTCATATTACCTCTGTGTAAAGGGAACATGGCATACTCTATCTACATGGTTGATTTTGGGCATTTTCCTATCCATTCAATGATACTTGCATACATTTTTAAATATCTTTACATGCATGTTTTAGACATGTAGATAACTAATCTAAGGCAAAATGGTAATGCTTATCATATTTCCTCTATAGCAGTGGTATAGACTAAACAATTAACAGGATTCTGAAATGACAGATATGCTGACATGATATTGGCTATAAAATGACTTAAAATGCATAGATTAAATTTAAAGTTAATGCTTAAAATGTCAAAATATAAGATACTCATTATCAAATATAAAATATTTAATTTCTTAGGTACATATTTGTTTTTTAACTGATCTATAAATAATTTTTAATATTTTATCATATATTTGCTTTTTATTCATGGAGCTAGTCTATATTTAACTAATTTGTAACTTTTGTATACCTATCTTAAATTCGGATGGAGGATTAAGAAAGAGACCCCATTGTTACTAAATAATTCCCCAAATCATTGCTATTATTGGTCATATGCCTGAATGCAGGCAAAGTGAATAATATACTTAAAAAAAAAATCCTAGAGCAGTTTAATGTCATTAGAAACCAGTGGGCTTGTCTTTCTAGGCCTCAGACCAGGATTTGAGGATATCCAAAAGAAGGAAGGAAATTCAAACAAGCAAGCAAATGGCAAAATTCTAATTAAGACAAAGGATAATGACATCTTCTCAAAGTAATATAGATCCCGTGTTTTTGCAAAACATTAGTCCATTAAAATTTATGTATATAGTCTTAATCATAAATGAATGAACAGCTCTTTTTTAAATTTAATTTTTTTGTCTAAAGTTTACAATGTCTCTTTTTCCCTCGATTGGACCCCCCCCCAACCCCAACGCCCTCCTTTCCCACCCCAGGCAAGCCCCCACTACCCCAGACTCTGTGTCCATTGGTTATGCTGATATGCATGCATACAAGTCTTTTGGTTGCTCTCTAACACCCCCCATAAACGCCCCCCCCACACACACACACATCACCCTTGCCATTTTTTTCTGGATCTATTTTTGTTCATCAGTTTATGCTGATAATTATATCATTATATCCCACATATGAGTGAGATCATGTGATATGTATAATATCTTTCTCTGACTGGCTTACTTCACTTAGCATAATGCTCTTTAGTTCCATCCATGCTGTTGCAAATGGTAAAAGTTCCTTCTTTAAAAAAAAAAAAATATATATATATATATATATATATATATATATATATATATATATATATATATATATTATTTTTTACAGAGAGGAAGAGAGAGGGACAGAGAGCTAGAAACATTGATGAGAGAGACTCATCGATCAGCCGCTTCCTGCACACCCCCCACTGAGGATGTGCCCACAACCAAGGTACATCTCTGACAGGAATCGAACCCATGGACCCCTCAGTCTGCAGGCCGACATTCTATCCACTGAGCCAAAAATGGTTTCAGCAGTTCCTTCTTTTTTATAGCAGTGAAGTATTACATTGGGTAGATGTACCACAGATTTTTAATTCATTCATCGACTGATGGGCACTTAGGTTGTTTCCAAATCTTAGCTATTGTAAATTAAATTGTGCTGCTATGAACATAGGGTTCATATATCATTTCTGATTTGTGTTTCTGATTTCTTGGGATATAGTCCTAGAAGTGGATCACTGGATCAAATGAGAGTTCCATTTTTATCTTTAAAAAAAAATATATATTTTTTTTTATTGATTTCAGAGAGGAAAGAAACATCAATGTAAGAGAAAATCATTGATTGGCTGCCTCCTGTACTGGGGATTGAGCTTGCAAACCAGGCATGTGACCTTGACTTGTAGAAGAGATTCTATACAAAAATAGCTGCTTTTTTTTTTTTTTTTTTTTTTTTTTTTTTGTTTGTGTTTTGTAACACTACAGTCATGGTTGAACCTAATATTTTCTTGAATACATCCCTCCTTATTTTAAAGTTTATATATATCGATATATCTCCACTACCCTTCCCTCTGCATCCCATCTTCCAGTTAATCCACAGGGGTCCCACTCTTCTTTGATAGCTAAGACCAGGTGAAGAAGTTAGAATGAGCTTACTAGTTGAAAACAAAGAGAAAATAGTGGAGTCCTGACTTCTCTTGTTCGAACACTCTTGCCAAGGCCTTCTGAGGTTTCTCAAGGGGACAATCATACAGAGCTGAAGTTAGAGGGGCCTTAAAAATCACATTGGATAGTCCTTTAACCATGTACTTTATTTCCTCTACAGCCCCTTTAGTGACAGAATATCTAAAGCACAGTGAGCTATAAAAGTGTTAGACTGTCTTGAGGGAGAGCAAGGCAGGTGAGCGGGTTGAGTCTTATCAAGGAAGCTGGGCAGAGACAGAGGCTCCCGTGGCTTTTGGAGTGCTCTCATGGAGTCTGTGCCCAAGTCCTTCAAGTGCTGGTTTGCTTCCCAATTAAACGTGGTTGCCAGCAAGAGCAATGGTGTGTTGGTTCAGAAGGGAGAAGCACAAATAAAACAATCAGCGATGAGGGATTTGCAGGCATTTCTGAGATCATATAAAGCAAAGTGGACATTTCTTCAGGATGCTATTAGCTACTTTTCTTTCCCATGTGGGACCTTCCCCTTCAGTTTGCTTGCCTGGGAAGAGGCTGCTGAGAATCGTTCAAGCCAGTTAAAGAAATTGCTTAAAGTAAGTATCCCAAACACAAACACATTAGCTCAAAGTGCTTGGAACACAGTAACAACCACAAAGTCCTTACTTCTTTTCTCCTTTGTACCATTCGAAGGCCGGAGGCGGCACACCTGCACCTTCGCATCGTATCAATCCACTGCGCCCGGGGGCCACGGTACCGGATTTAATTTCCTGGATCGTAGGAGCAACTGAAAAAAGAAACACACACAAATAAACCCGTGGGTAAGTACAAATAATCTTCAGCAGAAATAAAACACACATATTTTTCCATTTCTTCTAGATCCAAAGCAATCTTACGCCTGATAGGCCAATGCATCACATTTTCAGGGTGTTATGCTTCTAATACAAGACTTTCAGCTTCATTTTTCACTTTGGACAATAGACAAATGTTCTCAGAGCGTGTAGAGTAAATGCAATACATTTTGGCCTTGCTTCCTATTGGGAAATGGCATTGGTGAGGGACACACTTCATCTACACTCCAGTCAAATTCTACTCTAATAATAGCTCTCAGATATTGAGTGATCACTGGAAGCCAGTCACTGGACTAGGTGATTTTTGTTCATGATTTCCTCACAGCAATACTTTAAAGCTAGATGGCATTATCCCTTTTTACCAATGTAAAAATTGAAACTCAGAGAAGGTAAATAATTTGTCTAAGGTCACACAGCTGCTTAGCTGGAGAATTTGGACTTGAAGTCAGGCATACTGGCTCAGAACCTAAGCTCTTTCAGTATTCTGTGCTTTTCCCTGTCTGCTCCCCATGCATTAGCTCTTTAAGGATTCTTTAAAATGTGGTTTCTTCTACCAGGAATGGTGTTTTCCTCATTTCCAAGATTCAAGTGCTAATTTAGGTGTCACCATCTCCAAACTCTTCCCTATTTCTCTGGCTACAACCAGTTTTCCCATCTCTAAGTAGTGTTTATAAATTTCTCATACCAAACTAGTATTTCTATCTTATATTGCATTTATTTATGAGTAGCTCAGGATTCCTTGTTAGTTTCCGGAAGGCAGAGTAAATATGTGATGTATTTGCCATATTCAGATCTCAGAGCACAATGCTTGGCACAAAATGGTGCTTGAAAAGGTTTTTTGTAGAATAGTCATTCCTTCATTTATCAAATAGTTATTGAGCCATCAATAACTGTCAGGTATTTCCCAAGGCACCAAACAGTTAAATTTCCTGACATGATGAAGCTTATACTCTGAGGGATGGAGAAACAGAGTATAAGCAGTAAGTATCATAAATAATTAATTTAAATGAAATGTTAGAATGTAATAAAATATATGGTAAAACATACAGCAAGGTAAGAGACATGAGAGCAAGAAATGGATTGCAATTTTATGTAGGGTAATTTGATTAGGACTCATTGAGAAGGTAAGTTTAAGCAACACACATAGTCTTCCAGGAAGAGGGAGCAGCTTGCAATAAGGTCTGAGGCTCCAGAAAGCTGATTTGTTGGGGGGGGGAAATCAGTGTGGCTTAAGCAAATTCAGAGAGCAGGAGATGGAATGTGATGGGTAATTTTGTGTCAATTGGACTAGGTCACAGAATGCTGGATATTTGCTAAACATTACTTTTTGGTGTGTCCATGAAATATTAGCATTTGAATCAGTAGACTCAAGTAAAGCATATTGCCCTTTTCAATAATTGTTTGCATCATATAATCCACTGAGAGACTAAACAGAAAAAAAGTCACAGAGAGAATTCACCTCTTCTCTGTCTGACTGTTAAGCCAGCCTCTGAGTAGTTATTATAGCATTGGCTCCCCTAGTTTTCAGACTTTCAGACCAAGACTGAACTATACCACTGGCTTTATTGGGTCTCCAGCTTATAGACAGCATATTGTGGGACTTCTCAGCCTATATAATCACTGAGTCAATTCTTATAATATAATCTCTTTATCTATACACATACCCCCCCCCCACACACACACTGAGTGGCCAGATTATTATGATCTCTGAATGCATAAAAAAATCTGGCCTCTCAATATATATATATATATATATGGGGCCCAGTGCATAAATTAATACATGGTTGGAGTCTAGCCAACCTGTCCAGGGGAGGTGACATGGGTGGTTGGCCGGCCTGCCTGCTGGTCGAACTTCTGGTCAAGGGGACAATTTGCATATTAGCTTTTTATTAATAATGGCCAGATTATTATATGTTCAGACATCATAATAATCTGGCCACTCAGTATATATACATATACATATATATATACATATGTATATGTATATATACTGTATATCTATATATATTAAAAGCCCGGTACATGAATTCATGCACAGGTGGGGTCTCTCAGACTGGTTGTTGATCAAGGCCTATCTGGGGGCTGGCCCAAAAGGAGAGACCCCAAGAGGTTGGCTAGTTGGGGGGAGGGGCCCTGCTCCTAATTGGGGTGAGGGGCCTGGTTGTGGGTGGGGTCGTCCAGGGGGAGGGGCAACAAGTGGTTGGGAGTGGCCTATTGGGTCCAGATCAGGCCAGTTGGCCACTGCAGTGGGGTGTGGGGTGGCCTGGGCGAGGGGCTTGTGGTGGTTTGCAGGCAACCAATCCTCATGCAGGAGGCAACCAATCAAAGTTTCTCTCACTTTGATGTATCTGTCTTACCCTTTCTCTTCCACATTTTCTAAAAGTCAATGGAAACATCCTCAGGTGAGGAAAAAAGAAAAAAAAATAAAGAAATAAATGTCATATCCTATGAAAGACACATCTTGAAAATGCCTAAAGAAAGTTGTAATTTTTTTATGGTGAAGGGACTGGAGTCTGTGTTGATGAATACTCCTTGGAGGCTGTGGTGACTGGCAGTGGCGGCAGCAACGGGGTGACGGGGCTGATGCCTCCCCTGATCAGCCTGGTTGCCTCCCACGAAGGGAGGCCAGACTGCAGCTTAGGCCCACTCCCAATAGGGGATGTCCATTAATAGGATATCCCCTGAAGGCTCCCAATATATGAGAGGGGGCAGTTTGGGCGAGAAACCCCTCACCCTAGTCTATAATTAAAAACCAACCTATTTGTCTATTATTATGACACTGTTTTGCTTGTGAGAGGTACAGATCAGATTGTATTTTCACTCTTGTCCTCACAAACTTCCATCTCTCTTTCTCCCTGTCACACTAAGGGACCATAATCTTTTATGATATTCAATTATTATTGAAGATGAAATAACCATATGCAATAGGAGACCCTTCACAAGCTTCTATTGATAACCTGGTTATATCAATTAGTTTCTTGTTTGTCAAGGTGGCTATGACTCATTACAAACTAAACCATGAAATCTGGAACACTGCCTGAAAACCCAGACATAATGAACTGAAATAAAAATCTAATTAGTCATTATAATGCTTTTATGCCGTACAGCCTGCCTATGGCTCAGCACTAGGTGTTTCACCACAGAAGTTAAAGGAACATGATCCTCTTGTTGGTGATGAACACCAAAAATGTCATATGGAAGTGTATAAAAGATGAATTAAAATTGAGCGTAATAAAAAAGTCCCCAGAGTATTTGTGTGTGTGTGTGTGTATGTGTGTGTGTGTGTGTGTATGTGTGTGTGTGTGTGTGTGTGTGTTACAGAGTTAAAAAGTTATGAGCTATGAGTAATCAATATGGAGAGGAGAGTCTCACATAGATTTCATATTGAGGCTAACTTGAAGGTGAAGGCTCTATTGATTATTCTTGGGAATATGGATAAACCCTTATTCATATTATCCTACCTCTTTTGAAAATGACTGCATAAGAGGAAAAAGATTAATCCACTTATTTGCCTTTAAAACCTTCATCAATTCAACAAATATGTTTATTATGGGTCACATTGATAAAAATAATACTCTTTGTCTCATAGGAATATTATTTTTGAGGTTTAGGAATTTGGGTGCTTATGCTTTTTTTGAGGGGTACATACATGTGCAAACAGTAAATATATTTTTAAATTTATATAAATAGTGAGGGATTGATATGAACTGAAATGAAAACTGAGCAAGGTAAAAAGAACAGATCCTTACTGATAAGGCATTAATTGAGCAGAGCATTGAATGATGTGAGAAAAGGAATCAAGTGTTTGCCTGTAGGAAATTATTAAAGTAAGAGGAAACAGAAAAGTCAAAGGCCTGAGTTGAGAGCCTGCTTGAGATAGAAACATGCTTAACTGGTTGAAGGAGGAACAAGATGATCTTTGAATTTTATTCTAAGGAGATGAAGTTTCAGTTATTTGTAGTAGAGGAGTGACATGGTTTAATGAATATTTTATAAAGATTCTTTACCTGCTGTGTGAAACAAAGTCGTAGAGTGACAGGTGAGGAAATAACACAGCTAGAAGACTATGTTTTTGAATGATGAGAAAGTCACTGGCCAATCCACAGGAAAGGTGGGAATTGAGATAATGTTAATTAATTAGATCATTGGTCACCTTGCATCTAAATCAACTCATTTTATATTTAACTGGCAGTGACATGACATTTATAGTCAAATTTCCAAGTTTACATCATTCTGACCCCTATTACTTTATTATACATACATAAAAGAGTTCTGTGGCCACAGAAATGTCTGATTATACCCGGTAAGTTTCTCTTCTCAGAGCATATCTCAGAAACTGTGATGTATGGATTCCTTATCACATGGAACTTTTCCAAACATATAAGACCACAAAATTGGAAACGTTTTTATATTTGAATTTTTGTGGGCTTCTATTTTTTGGGACATATACTGGACAGTTGGACTAGTGGATGTCTAAGGTCTATTCTATTGTACATGCTATGTTACATGATCCATGACTTTTCATGTCAAAAATCATCACTAATTCAAGAGGCTCATGAGCTATAATGTATTCATTAATTTTACGTGAGAAGACCTCAATTATTTGCATTATCAAGATATTTACTTGCCAGAAATATAGACCTCACAACACTTATCACTAACTAATTCTACAACTGGAGCTACAATCTATAAACATATATATATATATATATATATATATATATATATATATATATATATATATATATAAATGGTCACTATGATGCACACTGACCACCAGGGGGCAGACGCTAAATGCAGGAGCTGCCTCTGGTGGTCAGTGCACTCCCACTGCGGGCACTCCAGTCTTCTGACTGATGAGCTCAAGGCTGGTGAGCGCAGCTGTCATGGCAGTGGCTGCAAGGGCAGCAGGGCCAGGATGCAGGATGAACAGGAG